TGCCCCTGCTACTGCCACTGCCCCTTGCCACTGCTGCTGCTGCCAGTGCTTCTGCCACTACTACCGCTACTACTCCTGCTACCACTAGCACTACCACTACCACTACCACTACCACTACTACTGCTGCTACTACTGCTACTGCTACTACTACCAGCACGAGTACTTGTACTTGTACTAGTACTAGTATTAGTACTAGTACTACTACTGCTACTAGTAGTAATACTTCTTCTACTACTACGAGTTGTAGTTGAGGATGCAGTGGCAGCAGTTCTTGTTATTGCTGTTCATCATGTTCGAGTGCATGTTCTTGCTCTTGCCTTTGCTCTTTTTATTGTGATTCTTGTTGTTCTTGTTCTTGCTGCTGTTGCTGTTGTCGGTTGCGGCTGTGGTTGTGGTTGTAGTCGTGGTTGTGAACGTGGCTGTGCGGCTGTAGTTGTTGTTGCTGTTGCTCGTGCTCTCGCTGTTGCTGTTGCTGTTGCTGTTGCTGTTGCTGTTGCTGTTCCTGTTGCTGTTGCTGCTCAAGTAAGCAGTACAATTTCTGCACTGGTTGAGTGTGAGACCTGTTCCCATAGCATAAGGAAATCCAATATATCCAGTCTAGTGTCTGCTTGAACCCACAACCACCCGTGTGATTCAGCTCTGCCGGTCAGCAAGTACTCCAGCTCGCGCTCAGCATGTGGATTGCGAGTGTGCTTCTGATTCTTACACATTGAGTTGATGTAGAAGACCACAGAAGAAAGAAGCAAATAAAAAGACTAAGAAACGGCTGAAAAACACATCGAAAACCCTCTTGAACGGCAACTTGAAGCCTTCGGCTGATGCATCAGAAAGGCATTATAGCTCCCAAAAACGATCCAGTTAAGTAGGGAAACGTTGCAAAGACATGACAAAGCCAGCCAAGGCACCGAGCAACGAAGAAGGCCAGATTCGGCCCCAATCCTTGAATGTCTGCCTGCAGCTTGCGCGCTTCTTGTCACGCAATACCCTTGCAAAAACAATGGCAACAGTCCAAAGATGTTGCTCGAGCAGCTACCGCGACTGCACTTGCAACTCGCAGTACCGCTCCGGAGCGCTCCTGTCCCTGTGTCACTGAAACACAAGAACTCTGTGACGACAGGTTCGGTCGCATAAGCCCGATCGGATGCCAGTCGGCATTCGGAGATTGCGCGCCTGTGACACGCGCAGGGCATGGCCCAGCAGCGGATGGTGCGACCCGCTGGCGAAGTACTGCAACGCACTCCTGCACTGCACCATGCATCGCACGAGATTTCCCATCACTACTATGCCCGTCCACCTGCAAATGTTTCTGGGGGCAGTATCGGCTGGCTCACCATGCATACACCCTGCATCCACTGACAACTCCGAATATCCCGTGTCTTCCCCAGGTGTAAGGGCCTGCAACTTTGCTTCGTGAACTCAAACGGAAGCTCATTTCCGACTGAAGAGGGATTGGCCGAGGCACGACGGCCCTAAAGCATGAGAATCCTAAACCCTGAACAATTCCTACAAACCCCATCCGAATGTGCCACCAACAACCGCAGAGAACCCGGCGATGGCAGCCGCGGCTCCGTGCTCGTGTAGCATCCTTAGAACAGACAGCTGGCTACAGGGCTTGGCCGACCTTCCAACCCAAACTTGCTTTCCTCATCCTGCGTATGAAAACATGCATAGCATACAGCAGTACCATACCAGCGCAGATCCGCAGAGTCTCAAACAGTGAAGGACAGTGCAGCACACAACGAAGCCGGCGCACACCCCGAATGCACCGTTGCACGCACCAAGCCCATGCCCGCACCCACCTTACCCACCCCACACGCGCACCTCCGCACCCCAATCGCACGTGGTCCTGAGTCCCGCCAGCGTCCGTGGACTGTTGGTGCTTGGCTGATTCTCCCGTCTCTCGCTGGAGTCTCGTGGTCTCCTGGTGGTTTCCTGCTGGGCCGCAAGCACTGACGCATCCAGATGGATTGATCTTATAGGACCACGGCCAAGATGCTTCCCTTGTGTACTGGCGGGATTCATACTGAAGCCATGTGCGGACAGTGGAAATTACGGAATATTCCGCGGGGCCAGTTTCCTGTACTCCTAAGGTAAGAAGCTTGTGTGGTGTACTACAGCGCTTTGGGAACCATAAGACTATAAGACTTCGAAACGTCGAAGAACAAGAAGAGGTGTTTCAATTCCGACAGACGGTGAGAAGATGAACATACAGCAGCGAGACTAAACAAGCAGCGACAAAGAGCAAATTCCAGCACTGTCGCACCAAGAACAGCATACCACCCTTGCAGGCGACTGCAGTGCCGATTTGACGGAGATGAAAAGCGACTTTGCAGCATGTTCCACATCAAATTTCGCTCTTCGCACGATACGCTGCTGCCATCTTTAAGACCTAGTGTCGACGTAGTTCACAAAAGCCAGCGCCACGTTGCGATTCCTGGGACGGAAAGCTGCACAACAAGCACCACCCAAGTGTATAATTACTGCTGCCAGTAGCATGATGGCTGACTACTACTGGCAAACTGAGCGTCTTCTGCCGATCATGGGGCATGTACACGAAGTCGTATCCACCTGGCGGCTTGGAGAACGCGATGCTTTTCGATCGCCCAGATGTCGGACCGCGAAATCCCTGCCCTCTCTTTCGTAGGCTCTTTCCCTTTCTGGTGGTGGGCGTGAAGCTTGTCTCACCCATTCTATCTTCCTTCTTTCGTGCGGATCGCCCACACACTTCGCCACTGGAATCTACGGCAGGCACGGGTGGCCCGACTCGTGATCCTCCCAGCTTGGCCAAAAGAAGACTGCCACAGGAGCCCAAGTAAAATTTGCAAGAGAGCAGGCAATTTATAGAACTCCTGAAGATAGGACTTCGCCTCCAATCGCATCCAAGACCTGGAGGAGCTTCTCCGTCGCTAGCTTGGGCGGCAGGCGCCTGCAAGGCCCCGCGAGCGCCAGATAAGCTAAGGACAACTCTCAGTGCTGCTTTCTCTGCCAGTCTTGAAGCGTCTGTCGCCTCCACAACTCGTCTCAATCCTCCCATCATCTTTACCTGACCCCGCTCCTCTGACCCCTGGAGCCGAGAACAAGTGGAACACAGAGACAGCCAACTCCCATGGCCTCAGCATGATCGCTGTACGCTCATCTGAAAAAGCTGAACCTTGTTCTGGCGCCATGGGCACCTGTGCACGCGTGAAGCCGCGGAGTCTGAGTGTGTGCTTCGTTCGGGCCTTGATCTTAGAAAACCCTCACTTCGAGGGAACCCATGTGTGCAACATATTCGAAATTGGGTGCCACATTACAGAGAGGTGAGAAGCCGGCGCCTTCTAGCCGTTCGAATGAACACCTCACCCGCTTTGCCCAGAAGGCGCACCAAGCGACAGATAGCCGGGATGGCGAAACTCACAACCCAATTACGTGCAAGACTGTGAATCCAGAAATGTCTGTGAAAACTCTGAGGCTGTTTGCATCATGGTACCTGTTCCACCACTCGAGCCAGTTCACACTGCAGAAACTATGGTCAGTCTCCTGCTTCCTGTGCACTTTGAGGGTATGTGAGGCGGCATCAGTGTGACAGAGCAGAACTACTTTGTGAAAGGAGCAAGGTTCCACGCAGCCTGTCAAAGCTCGACAGCTGCCTTGCTCAAGGGGCTTTCCGTTCCTCCCAAAGTAAGCTGCAAACACCGGCAGGTTTTTCACTGTGCAACGGTCGTCGCAAACTTCAACCTCTACTGGGGAGTTCAGCAAGGATCTGCCTATGAAACTTCATCAAAACCACCAAATACTGCTCTCGTCAGCAGTGGCGCCGAGCCGGGCAGCGATGTGGCATGGGTCGCTGTCAGCGACTGACAGCACTGCTCAAGGTTCCCAGATCTTTGGAGCAGAGAGGGTGAGGCCCGAAGAGTGTGCGGGGAACTGGTGTCTCGGAATCTTCTTGGTGCCGCCAGCCTTCTGACCCTGCTCTTTACTGACCCTGCTCTTGAATTAAGAATTAATCTGTGCAGTGCTGACCGGTTTTATCAGCTGGCCAAATGAACTTCGTCACTGTACACATGGCGCATGACATGAGAGCATTGGCATACTAGGTCATGATACCCGATGATGTGGAACAGAAGAAAGTGGGTCGTGCTGCTGATGGCGCTGGCGAACCTGATGATGAAGATGATGATGAAGAAGAAGAAGATGATGAAGATGAAGATGAAGATGAAGATGAAGATGAAGATGAAGATGAAGATGAAGATGAAGATGAAGATGAAGAGGAAGATGAAGATGAAGATAGAGATGAAGATGAAGATGAAAATGAAGATGAAGATGAAGATGAAGATGAAGATGAAGATGAAGATGAAGATGAAGATGAATGTGATAATGATGATGATAATGATGATGATGATGGTGACGATGATGATGATGACGATGATGTTGATGACGATGATGATGACGATGATGATGACGATGATGATGATGATGATGATGATGTTGGTGGTGCCTATTCATCTGATTATTCTGGTTGTGCTGACGACACTGATGAGGCAGATATGGCAGATCCTGATGTGGATTCTGGTAGTGAACATTAAGATATCGGTGATACTGGTGATACCTATGGGTAATGAGTTGCAGTTGCTGACGAAGCAGCACTGATGGTGGTGATGGATGATGATGACGGTGCGCATGATGATGACGATGGTTCTCAATCCTACATGACTTCACGTTAAGTTGACTACCCCAATGCTCAAAACTAACCGATGGCAATTCTGGAGGCCTTCCAGCATCTGTACGTAAACCCAGGCTTCTGCCAGGCACATGAAGGCCACGCTTCGCGTGGAAGAAAGCCACGAGCAGCAAATCCCCAACCATCTAATCCACATCTAAGTACCATCACGTTGCCAGGGCGCTTTGCGGCTTCGTGGCAATCAGAGCCAGGAAGGTCCTCCACTTTCTGCCGAGATACTCAGGCTGAACATACCTGAGACCCAAACCTAAGCACTCTGGGGGCCTGCAGGGACAAGACGAAATCACAAACTGCGGGCCGCCAGCTTTGCAAAGCTCCCATCCATGTTGATCAGCTCGTGATAGGTGCCTGATTCCACGATCCGGCCGCTTGCCATCACGAAGATCTTGTCCGAGTTCTGAATCGTAGAGAGGCGGTGAGCCACGGTGATCGTGGTCTTCCCCACCCTGGCCTCCTGCATCGCCTGCTGCACTAGGCGCTCGGAGGTGGAGTCCAGAGCAGACGTCGCTTCATCCAAAAGCAAGAACTGCGGTCGACGAAGGAGGGCTCGAGCGATTGCGCAGCGTTGCTTCTGCCCACCTGACAGCTTCTCTCCCCGAAGGCCGACTCGGTCGCTCCACTTCACAGACCCTGCGAAGGCGTAGTCCATGTTGGCCACCCTGGCCGCATCCTTCACTTGCGCATCTGTGGCCTCGGGATATCCATACTTCACATTCTCTTCCAGGGACACGTCGAAGAGAACCGGCTCCTGCCCTACCATCCCGATCTGCTTCCGCCAGAAGGCCACGTTCAGGTCGCACAAGTTCTGGCCACCCACCTGGACCGAGCCGGTCTGAGGGTCGTAGAAACGCTGCAGAAGCTGAATCACAGTAGATTTCCCGCTGCCCGAGAAGCCGACGAAAGCCACTGCCTGACCTTTCTCGATAGTGAAGCTGAGCTTCTTGAGCACGCGCACCATGGGGCGGTGGGGATACCAGAAGTACACTTCCTTGAACTCGATGCTACCATCTCCGATACTCTCGATCTTTCCCGTCGGCTGCGTGGCATCAATGCTGGAAACTTGGTCGATCAGGCGGAAGACCTCTGTGGCGGCGTGGTAACCCGATGCTGAGTCTGGGATGAACTGCACGATGGTACTCACGGACATGACACCGAACATGACGCAGAAGAGGGTCAGCAGCACCTCATTCGCATTGAAGCCCCAGTACTGAATGCAGGCAGCACTCATCCCAAAGCCTGATAGGTAGATGCACTGGATCATGCACATGTTCAAACCCAGGGACAGGCCCAGCTTCCAGGATCTCGCTGTGTTCCCCTCGGTGAGGATGAGCAACAACTCATCCAAGACTTCCATGGTGTATTCCTCTGCCCCGAGTGCCTTCACGGTGCGAATGGACGTGGCTGCCTCGGCCGTCTGCTTGCCTGCCCTGGAATATGTATCCTCTTGCATCTGATCCACGCGCGTGGCACAGGCGGCGACCACCAGACCAAGGAATCCGCAAATGGGCATCAAAGCTAGGAGGATCAGTGCCAACACCCAGGATCCGGCGAAGCTCACGCCCACGCTGATAAGGCAGGTGAAGATGGCACTCGTCGAGTTTCCAAGCTGGATGCCCAACATCTGCCCTACGCGGTTCATGTGCCTCTCCAATGACACCAGGATGCTCCCTGTCTGGTTCTCAGGAGCATCAAAGAAGGCCATATCCATGCGAATGGTTGAGACGAAGGTCATCTTGCGCAGAAGCATACACAGGCACTCCTGCATGTAGGAAAAAAGCGAATTCTGGCAAAGGATTGCCAGACCTGAAGCCAAGCCGACGAGGATGAGGCCAAGCACAGCACGGTCCAGGTGGGGATACATTGCCTCAAGGCCCTCCACTTTGCTGTTGAAGAGCGAGAGGATACCCGCGTTGAAGAAAAGAGCCTCAAGAGGCATTGTAAGCGCGTCTAGGAAAATGATCACCAAGATCATCGGCCACACCCACCAATAGAGCCTCATGATGCCGACGAGTCGGCACCAAACACGAGGTGTCACATGCACGGTTGCTTCCGCACCGAAGCCAGTCTCATAGAAGCTCAGCGCGGTGCCATTGCGGCGTAGGGCAATCGACTTGTGCATGCTCATGATGCTCTTCATGCTCACCTTCCGTGTCTCGCTCCGCGTCGGTGGTGCAATCGTCGGCGTCTCCTCCTCGTCCTCTGGGTCTTCTGCGTTGGCTTGCTGCAACTTGGCCATGCTGTAGTATTCGGCCTGCCTCTCAATGAGATCTTCATGGGAGCCCTGCTCACAGCACCGGCCATCCCTGAGGACGTAAATCACATCTGAACTCTTGATGGTGGTAAGCCTGTGGGCAATGGAGATGGTCGTTATGCCGGATGTGTTCAGGGAGTCAAGGGTCGCCTGCACCAGGCGTTCAGACTCGTTGTCCAAGGCAGAGGTGGCTTCGTCCAGCAGGAGGATCTGCGGACGTTTTGCTAGAGCCCTTGCAATCGCAACACGTTGCCGCTGGCCTCCGGACAACAGCCCACCGCCTGTGCCAACGAAGGTTTCGAACTCCTCGGGCAGGCTCATCAGATCATCGTAGATCTGAGCAGCTTTGGCCGCCTCATGGACCTGCTCGTCACTAATGGAATCGTCTCCAGCCTTCAGATTTTTCATTGCCGAAGTGGCGAAAAGGACGGGCTCCTGCCCAACGTAACCGATTAGCTTGCGCCAGGCCTTGGCAGGCACCTGACTGAGGTTAATCCCATTCACCAGAATTTCACCTGCACAGGGGTCGTAGAAGCGCTCCAGAAGCTGGATAGTAGTGCTCTTGCCACATCCACTTTCTCCAACGAAAGCAATCTTCTGGCCTCTCTCCACTCTGAAGTTGAAGTTGCTGAGGACCCACCGTTCCTTCCTTGTCGGGTACCTGAAGCCCACGTTTCTAAACTCGAGCGTCTCCACTGTACTCAGAGCTTCAGGGAGTGCCTCCTTGCTGTACAGAGGGCGCTCGATGGCACGCGCTTCTGCTGCTGACATCACCTCCTTCATCGAAATGGCAGAGGCATAAGCTTTGGCCATTGCCGGGGCAAAGCCACTGAAAGAGCTGAGCCCGGAAACACCGACCATCATAGCGATCATGACGGTGACGACATGGCTGGGTTCAAAATCCACGTTGTCGCCTGAGAGGAGGATGTGGCCGCCGAACCACAGTGCCAGGCCGTAGAGGCAGGAATAGAAGAAGTTCAGGCCGCCCCAGGCGCCACCGATTTTCACTCCGGAACGAATTCCCCCCATCTTCGCTGCCAAGAGCTCTTTCTCGAAACGTGAACACTCGGCGTTTTCAGCACCGAAGGCAGCAACGGTTCGGATAGCCATCAGCGACTCCTCCGCAACGGCGGAGGCTCGGGCGAAGTTTCGTTGCTGGTCGACAACTTGCTGCTCGATCTCTCTGCCCATGCGAT